CAGAGTGTGGAGGCGCTGGAGGAGCAGGGCCGTGCCCTCAGAGGCCACCTCCAGACCCTGGTGGACAGGTTACTGCCTCCTCCTGCACTGACCCCTGCGGCAGTCTCAGCTCTCACTCCTCCTCCCGCCCTTTCTCCCCCTCCTGCTTCCTCCACACGCCCTCTCCCTCCTGCCCCACCCTCCAAACCCACTCCTCCCTGACAGCCCCGCACCCTCAGTGCTGCGAGATGGGAAAGCCAGCAGGACTCCGAGCCCTGAGCTTTCCCTTCCCTTCCTCCCCCTTCCAGCTCCCTCCTCCCAGGTTTCCCCCTCCCCTCTCTCACCCTCATTCCTCCCTCCCCTCACCCCAGTTATGTAAAATAAAAAGAGATTTTTGTTGGCAAAACAGGTGTCTTTATTTGACATTAGGGAGGGGGAAGGAGAGGAGAGTGGAAGAAGGCTCCAGTGGGGCATGCAGGGAAAGTTCAGTCCTCCTCCACATGGAAGCTCTTCCCGGATCTGGACCGCCCCCCTCTGGGCCTCCCGGATGGCGGCAGTACAGGGCTGCGCATACTGGCCAGCCATGCAGTCAGCCTCAGCCATCCAGGCTGGCAGGAAAGCCCTCCCCCTTCCGTTTGCATAAATTGTGCAGCACACAACATGCTGCCACCATGGGAGGGATATTGTGCTCAGCGAGGTCGAGGCGGGTGAGGAGGAACCGGAATTGGGCTTTCAGTCGGCCGAAGGCCCCCTCAATCACAATGTGGGCCCTGGTGAGCCTGGCATTGAAGGCCTGCTGGGAGGGGTTGAGGTGTCCCATGTAGGGCTTCATTAGCCAGGGCTGTAGGGGGTAGGCCGCATCCCCCACCAGGCAGACGAGCATGTCCACATCCCCGACCCTGATGTGGCGGTCGGGGAAGAAGGTCCCGGCGTGCAGCCTCCGGTTTAACTGTTAAACCTCAGGTTTAACTGTTAATTCGAACTAAGGAATTAGATTCGTGCTTCTCTGCTGTGTGTAGACGCGAGCAGTTACTTTGGGCTAGTCAGTTTCCAAAATGGCAACCGGTCGGGAATATGCTAATCAAGTGTGGGATATTTAAATCCCGTGCTTCATTAGCAATTTTGGTCACCCTCATTAGCCTCCCTAGTTCGAACTAGGGGGCTAGTGTGGATGTACCCTCACTCTCTTTCTCTAGATTCCAATATAGCTAGAGTTATCACTGTAGATTCTAGGCATAGCGCAAGGGTTATAAAAGGGCACCACTTTGATGCAGTATTTGGATAGTAAGCAATGTTTTGGGCAGGGAAACTAATTTAATGTATTTGTACAGTACCGAGCACAAAAGGGCCCCTCTTGTCTGGTGTCTCTAGGTGCTACAGTAATACAAAATAATGAGCGACCAATGGGATCCTGACTATTTTCTTTCTGCTCACGTTCACAAGGGAATGGTCTGACATACAAACAGGACTTATTTAGCTCTGGAATTGCATTTATCAGCTCCTCTGAAAGCCACTGGGAGTGCAGTTTGTGTACAGAACAACACAAACAGAACCCCCGATATGTGTCAAACTGTGGGCGTGTTCAAAATCTCAGTCAGGTATGAGCTGAGTTAAGCCATACCTAATTTGTAAGAAGACTTTGCGCAAAATAATGGTCTGTTATTGGCCAAGGCAGATGACTGAAATGAAGCCTGAATTCTCCCCTCCCTTGGCAAAATATGCAGCAAAAGGGTCACATGTGAGATACAGGGTTCTAGTTAAAGGCAGAGCCCCGAAAATCAGCGGACATTTGCTTTATATCCATGGGTATCCATATCCCCAGCTGTGGATGCGGATATCTGCAGCTCATTTTTGTAAATATGGATGCAGATGCAGATACAAATTTTGTATCTAGAGCCCCACAAATCTGCAGCTATCTGCTTGATCTCCATATATGGATGTGGATGCAGATATCTGTGGATCATTTTTGCAGATGCAGATAAGGATGCCTAGAGCCCTGCAAATCCATGGATGTCCACTTTATATCGGCTGGTAATCACATCCACAGATGTCAGTGTGGGTACCAGTGGCTCATTTTTACAGATATGGATGTGGATACAAATTTTGTATCTGCACTGGGCTCTACAGGTGCCAATTTTGCATCTATGCAGGACTCTAGTTATACATACAACCACTGGGTGAATGGGAACGTGTGTCTCCATGCTGGCAGTTTTATGCTTGGTTGATGTCTAGCTTCTGGTTGTGGTTCCTCTCCTATGGGCGTGTGTTGTCCTTGCCCTC